TGAAATGAACATCTCAATAAAGGAGGAAATAGAAATTCAAATTGCAGCTTCAGCAAATAGAGTGCACATCATTCACATCTGCTATCATTTTCAGAGTAATGATAATAGCAGCAGGGCCATTATCTCTGGACCTGACCCAGGACTCCACTGCATCATTTAAAGATGACCCAGCTGACAGCCTTAAGGCACAAAAGCTCCTTGCTGGGCACTCAAAATCCTCGTTTTCTGAAAACTGTTTTCCCCCTAAGGCTCATCAAATAGTGTTTTAATTTATCTAAATGGTATTCTTGACCTAAATAAGTGACCATTTTGGTTTTAAAATGAAACCACCTCTGAAAATTATTTTCTTTTTCCTATTATCCAGATAATAAAAAAAGCTAAACAAAAAGCAGAATGTACAATTTCAACTAATTTCAACTATTAATTTCAATTTTGGACTACTTAAGTTTTTTTTTTTTTACTAGAATTGAACAGATCTTTTTATTTAGAGTTATGTGTTAAATGGGGGGCAACAGCTGCACTTAAAATCCCCTCAAGAAACAACACCAAATCTCCTACTGTATTTGACCTTTTTCAGCAGGGATCAGGCTCCCTCTTGTGTTGTTCAAGCACCCCTCCTGTACATGTTACAAGCATGGTCCAGCTCAAACAAAGTCTATCTGGGAAGCTACAAAGCTGACTAATAAGTAAAGCATCTGGAGCAACATAACATTTGTGTGAGGTATCGTAGTAATGAGAACGGACCTAGAGTACCATGGTACGTGACGTTTGTCCTCAGAAATCAAAAATTACAACCTCAAAGTAATAGATTTCAAACGAAATGCCCCTGGAAGTGAGTGCAACAAGACGGTACCCAATATGCTGGTGAAAAGTTTCAGTCATTCAGGTGATAGGCCTGGCTGACCAGGCAAGATTTTGTGGCCAACAATGACGCTAACGACTCCCTCTTTGGAGGCATAGGCCAGAATAGGGTAATGCAGGCAAAACAAGACCACAGGTCCACCCCATTACTAAGGGGTGGACCTGTTCTCTCAGTTCAATTTGCATGTTTTCTAATCCATAAAAAGGCTTTAGGCTACTTTATAAAGCTTGGAACTCAACGCTAATCCAAATACAGTAGTAACCATTCAGAATGCCCCCACTTCCCTTGATGGGCCCTTGGCTGGTCCTTGGCTATTCCCCTACAATTCCTTTTTAAACATCTAAAATAGATTTGTGGACTTTAAGATCTAAAGAGAAGCCTCATCTCCTGGTCAGACCCTGTAATTCAATGAAAGGGTGGAGTCAGAGTAAAAAAAAAAAAAAGCACACCCACGAGAAGGCCAGTGGCTTGAAGTTGGAGGGGATTTGGCTTCCATCTGGCTGGCTTTTGACTGGGAAACGCCATTTTGATTGGCTAATACTGTATTTTGAATTGAAAAGGCTTCCTGAATGGGAAACAAAATGTCTTCAAACTTGGAAATCAAAGTTCAGTGGTTTGTTTTTTAGCTTTTTTGGGATCTCACCCAACTTTTGCATTCATGATGGATGCTACTTGTGTTGATGGTAGTTAAACTTTCCTATTTTACCTGTTTGTCTCAGTTCTTTATTACGGAAATTGAACTAGTCACTCCTGGTCAGTGTTTAGACAACAATATGTTTCCATTGATTGTATGCACAGTAGTAGCCATTCAAAATTTCCACACTTTCCTTAATGGGTCCTTGGCTAGTCCCCTACAATTCCTTTTCAAACATCAATCTTTATACTAAAATATTTTTTCTCATGATTTGTTGACATCAAGATCTAAAGAGAAGAGTCATCTCCTGGTCAGACCATGTAATTCAGTGAAAGGTTGGAGTCAGAGTAAAAAAAAAAATTCAAACCTAGGAGAAGGAGGGGGTCTCTCCAGTGGCTGGAAGTTAGAGGGAATTTGGGTGGGAGTAAGGGGTGGAGGCTGCCATTAGGCTGGCGTTTAACTAGAAAGGGCTATTTCGAATGGCTGCTACTGTACTGTATGCCACATACGGTGTAGGAAACTGGTTTGTCACACCAGTTAAATCATTGGCTGCAGGAGCCATAGAGAATTTACAAGGTGGTAACAGGAACCCATTTATCTCAGATGACCTTACTCCAAATCATCAAAGTCAGCATTAGATGGAAAGCACCACTTGAAACAAGGCTGGTCAGAGATGATTGCTATCCAGCCCAAAAATGTTTTCAAAAGCATTTAGATTGGTGGAGCATGCAGGATGGTCAAAAATGGTATATATTCCATTGTATGGCATGGGTTGTGAAGTGCAGATTTATTTTTATTTGAAAGATCAAGTTGTTATTTTACAGCTCAAAACTGGAAGCTTGGGGAAAAAAAAAAAAAAAAAAAACAAAAAAAACATAACAAACACTACAACCGCTTAAACTAGAAAACATAGAAAACAACACCACCAAGACATCCTGTGAAAACTGATAAAACTGTTTAGTTTTGGTCTGAAGAAAGAAAATGACCAGTTATTGAGGTATTGTTCCAGCTTTACTATCACATGTTTTTCTGTCCCTTGCACATGACCTAAGAAAAAAAAAATAACTCAAATGGAAAATAGACCTACTTTTGCCTCTAACACCTGCTTTAGATTCTTGCATGGAAACATGGACAGTACAGATCCTCCTAAACTTCTTTTTTAGGACAATGTAGTTATGACACTGCAACCTGTATGGTATGCTCATAAAAGGATTTTCTTCAGCCATACAGTATCATCCAGCAGAGCCCATTAATATTACAAGAAATATCTAAGGAGCCAAAGAGCATAACAGTGCCACAACCTGCAGTTGCACCCTTAGTGGGCTTAAATTTACAGTTCCTTTTAGGCAGCGCAGATACAAAGAATCTTTAAAGCTCAGAATAAATTGTCCATATAAATCATAGATGCAGACGTTTATCTTAGGGTTTCCATAAAAGAAAAAAAACCTCAAGCATGCTATATTATCCCCACACTGCAAAAAAGGATTTAAAAATGAGTTAAAATGTTTAAATTAAGTGTATTTACCCTTAATTTGCGCAGGTTAACAACACGATTGGCCAAATGGAATGAGTATGTTTACTCTTAAAAATAAGATAACTAGATAATATGCACTTAAAATAGGACAGAACATTTTTTATTTTTTTTATTTGAATAAAATTTCCATTGGCAAAGACTCACTAACCTCCTCAATTCAAGAAACAATGCACTTATTTTAAGAAAAAATGACGTAGACTTAGACTTTAGATTTTGTTAGCCGTGCATTATATTAGGCTAACTCAAAATTACCCTTGTTTGTATTTGCCTTGTAAAGGACTTTCTTAACTGTAGTACTTTAACTAAGAAAACCATGCTTTACTTTCAAAAGTAAAGCATGATTAATGTTAAAGATATTTAGTTCTCCTTGAAATTATATTGTTTAGTAAAATAAATTAGTCTTTCTAACAGCTACATATGAATCCAGAGCAAATTAGGTTTTTCCTCCATCAGAAACACTTTGTTATACATTGACTTAAATGTTATATTTGAAGGACCGTTTTGAATATTCTTTATCAATAAGTTTTCTTTTTTTTTATTAAAACTGGAAATGCACAGCTAAATAAAAAAAACAAAAACACTGAAAGGAAAACTGTATTATTTCAAAGATTAAAATATTAGTCAGGTGATATATGATCTAAAGAGCTGATTAAACCTCAATCTTTAGTTTAATTAGATTTGAATATGCAAAAGTTCTGTACTTAGAAAGTCAGTGAACAAACATTTAGAGGGAATTGAATAAAATGCGAGATTTATAATTTCCTCTAGAAAGTTTGTTATGGAGTAATAAGCCGGTTTTTAATGCTTGTAACATGTACAAAGCCTTTTGCTTTCACTTTAACGGGATGGATAATTTCACTTTTTTCAGATGCTTTGAAGCCAGATCATTTTCTAGCTCACACTTTTGGGCCTGGAACTGTAAGTAAACAAAGACTTAGCCATACAGAATACAAAGTAAAGAGGTGAAAAACTCCCTGCATGAACAGCATAAACCCACTGACTAACAGCTCCTTGGGAGGAAGAGTTGCAGCATTTCATTTGCATTACGCACACCCCTCCACAGGGTGAATCAGGGTGCATCTCTGAATGTCTTGATAGTCTTGATTGAGTAATTGAAGCAATATCCTTTTACCATTGTTTAAAAATTAGGCCATATATTGATGTTGTCTTTATAATCCTTAGTTGTGTCTCCCATATTTTAGCTGCTAGAGCTGTAATGCTGAGACAAAACAGCCATTAATTCTGCTTGGTTTAATACACATTTTTGTACACATACACATAATACATTTTTGCCCATCTTGAGTTTCATCAACTCAATTTGTCACTGTCATGGCTACTTTGCAGAATGTTATTGATTTCTAATTCATCAAATGATTTATTGACCATTATTTCATTAAAATCTGGTTTTATTTTCCCTATTTCCCTCTTATTTACACTGAACTGTTTAAACTTATTAAAGTTTAAGTTTTAGTCTTTGTTGTTTATTTTACTTCTTAATTTCCCTACAGTGTATATTTTTACATATGTTTTCATTTTTCCTTAATCATTTAATTGAATTGTACTTCCATTGTTAAGGAGATTCTTAAATGAATTATTTTACCAAGGGGGCTTAAGAATTAAACTTCAACTTCAAATATTATTCTTAACTTTTTTAATAACTGCAGTTGGTACTTATTTTTATTTATGAATAGCCTAATTTTCCTAATGCACAACATTGCTCCAAGTTTCAAGATATATACCTTGCTACAAGAAGTGTCTAGTAAACTTCTTTCATATCAAGAGATCACAAGTCAAAAGAGTAGGCAAGCAGCTCTTTGCAAGATATGGGAAACACACAAACCTGCACTTAAATTTATGGGAGAGTTACACTTTATGCTCCACCCTTTGATCTTTTAAATCCAAAATGCATTCTCCTTTCATCTGTTCTTGCCCTTCTGTCACAAATAAACACATTTGAACATCCCACTCACCTGTAAATTTTGTATCTTGTAGAAAACCCCTGCTGGAACCTTTCTCTGAACTCTGTGTACTCTGGACATCTGTGAAAAGGTCCTTTTTCTGACAGCAGCCAGTCCAGCTGCCCCCCACTCTGCCTTGTATTAAAGCCCCATGCTGAGGAGCTTGAGGGGGACGAAGAGGTGGAGGAGGAGGAGGATGATGAGGATGATGGGGATGATAGAGAACCATGAAGTGCTTTTCCACTCTGTCCCCCGCTGGCCAGTTGTTCAGCTCGGGCAGGCAACGGCAGCCATAGCAACACCAAAGGCAACCATAGGAGCATCAAGGAGGATGCCGACCATCTAGCAAGGCTGGCAAAGCCATGGAAGCACCTCTTTTTTCTCATTGGCCAAGGAATTGCCATGGTCCCGGTGATGTTGCACTAAGGCACCTTGGACCGGCATTTCTTCTGGCACTCACCTCTTGCAGGCCTAAAAGAAACAACAACAACAACAAAAAATTGTTAAAGCATGTTTGGTTGTGTTTAGGAAATCTAAGTAATGAAATCTAAGTAATTCGGCTTGAGTACACTTTGCCATTGACTTAAACTGAGCCACAGAGTTTTAGTAAATAAAAGAATAAGTCGACCAAAATTTGCTTTGCTTTCTTTTTACACAAAATCACACCTCAACATATAAACAAAATGATACAGAACTCCTCAATCTTATTTTGGGGATTTTGCTGAACATTACAAGCAGACATGCTTTCTGTAGGATGATGGAATAATAACATATTTGCACCTCTCACTAGATTTACCAGAATTTATTTGGCTAAAAGTAAAGCATACATGTTACATTGAATGAAACCAGAACAGTTACCACCAAGCTTGTATTTTAGTGAATACCTATTAGTCTCTTAATACCATACAAAAAATTAAGATAAATGATAAATTAGCTCTTAAAAGTAAAATTGTTTCCGTAAATTCAAAAAAAAGGAAAAATAGTGCTATTTAAGTTTACATTTATAATGAATTTTATTTCAACTTTAGCTGCTGTCACACAACTTCCTATCTTGCCTTATACGCTGCCATTTTTGAAAATACTTGTTATTTGGATGTTTTTGAAAGGGAAGAATTACTGGAATATCAATCCAAGTCCTGTTTTATAAACGTCTGTTGCCTTCACCTTCTCCCATTCTGAATAGTACATCTATATGAGATTAAGGCATAAAATTCCCAATGTTACCTAAATATAATTGGATATGTTACTTATCAGTGATGTCAGTCAATAGTTTGTTGGTAGTTTTATTTATTTTTTTGTGGGCCTCATATCAGAGCATTGGTTGATCTTAGGAAATTAAAACTCCCTGAGTGTCACCAGTAGGTCAGACAACTTTAAACACTAAATCAGAGGACAAGCAAAGACAGAAGTTTCCCTTTTTATTTTCAAGCGAGCATTTGCCAGATACGTCTTTGTACCTTACAGGTAGTTTTTGTTAACCAGTCCTGGAACTCTATTTTTTAATTAATCAGACATAAGTTAGAGGCTCAATGAAAGTGTTTTGTCTTCCCAGAAATCCATATTTAATTGCATGACAACTAAACACAAAACCCTATGTTAGACAAGAGGCATCTGTTTGTACTGCATTATGTCTTACTTTTTAAAAAAAGTACTGCAAAAAAGTAACCCTTTTTTTTTTATTGAAAGATACATGATCAGTTTACGAAAAGTTGAGCCAAACCAACAAAGTCTCTGTCAAAATAGTTTAGATGGTTGTTGTCTCTTCAGGTACATAAGACCAAACACAAAATATCAGTTGGATAAGTCAGCACATTTGAACTAAAAACGGTACAGTCCAACAATAAATATGGCCGCAAAGGTGTAAGGTACTCCAAAATAATGTAACACTTTATTTCCTCTTTAAGGCTTCTTGAAAGGCTTGAGCAGCAGATTATAAAAGTAAATTAATTTCTCAAAGTCAGATGAATCAGGTACATTTATATACCATGCTATTGTTTTCATTTCAATTATTGTTGACTGCTCAAAGCACTATTAGGTAAATCAGAAGTCTTACTTTATATCTAGAAGTAAGTAACACTTGATTACAGTAAATTTCAAATCAGACATTTTGGTTTTATTTACGAAAGGAACATGGTGGCCAACATATAATTTATATACCTGGTCAGAGCGCCTCCTTGTGCTGATGCATGTCAGCCTGACTTTTCTCAATCTGTCCCAGGGCAGCTATAGCTACAATCTAGCCTTCCACCATCAGCATGTGAATGTGTGTGCGAAAGATGAGCACTGTTTCCCCTAGGATCTTCCTTTTCATTATCTCTGAATTGCATTTTATGTATTTAGGTAAATCTCTCTCTCTCTCTTCATTTCAATATCTTTTTATTTCCACACCCCTTCATCATATTTTTATCGTTCTAGTTTGTTTTGTTTTTTTCATCAGGCTTTGTTACATTTAGCTCTTCTAGTTTGAGGAGTCTTTTTTAACGGATCTCTTAGCGGATGCAAGTGGAAAACTATTTTTATTAACTCTAATCCAGTTACATTTTGGGAAAAGATATTAAAACATTAACATAGACAACACTGTGGGTTATGATCCAACTATGGAGCTTGATAAAGTAAGTTGGACAGCAGAAAAAATGAAGGAACCATGTTTTTGTATTTAACTAATTTAGGAAAAAAAGCGGTCATATTATTACATTAAAAGAGGTCAATATAAAATGACTCCTGCAAAATCTTCGAAAGATAAAAAAGTATTTCTAATACTCTAAGGGATGAGAGTTTGAGATTGCACCACTGTGACATGGCAGGGAGTTTCAGCTCTGTGATTTGTGTGTTTGGACAAGCATGTCATCAAACGCCTCAACACATATCAGTGAGTGTTAGCAGCACAAGCCACACCATGGTTTGAGTGTGAATTCTCAGCATCAGAAAATGAAATTTCCCCTCGTTCTAATCTTGGTTTCATTAGACAGCTAAAGCAACACACAGACACACACAGACACGCACACGCAATAATGCCTTACAGAATTTTACAGAGCCCTCATGAAAAGCTGAGACTCGATCTTCATTTCAATGTTAATGACTAGCAGGATTGCAGAGAGGACTCTTCAGGGACAAATCAGCATTTCAGAACAAAAATGTAAAGTAGCAGACAAGATGCTTTAAGTGGATTGGGATCTTAAGTATTCCCTGTGTATCTTACAAACAAATTAGGAAATTAATTTCAGGTGGATAAATACAGGCTCAGACATGAAAAAAATAAATAAAATGCTACTCAGGGAGTTGCATTTTTCATTTTCACCAAATGTATCGTGAGGTTACTCTGGTTTAAAATGGTAATTAAGGAAGCCATCTGTAAAACAGATATATGTATTTATGCAACTAAAAGCCAGATCCGACCTTGATGAAGAGGATGTTGATGTTGTTTTATGTGCCGTCCTTCCCTAAAGTAAAATGGGTGCAAATTAAAACATTTTTCAGCTTTGGTTATATAATATCTCAGTTTAGTAAGTGTTGTCACAGGCAAGAATTATTTGCTGAGCTTATAAATAACCCCTGATGTTTTTAAAGGGCTTTTTAAAAATTGAAAATAACACTTTGAAATACTAAGAGATCCTGCTGGAATAAAATCTTTCAGTGACAGAGACTTTAAAAAGACATTTTGCATCTATCAATAAAGTTCAACGGAAAATAAAGAGCAACAATACAAAATAGAAAAAAACCTTCAAAAATTCTTAACATTATTCTCAGAAAAAGAAATACTTTGGTGTATCACATTTTCCAACTTGTTATGTCTTATTTGTAATGTATTTATTTATTGTACTGTATTGCATTCAGAGGTTTAACGTCATCATTAAATTATCAGTCTACTTAAATGATTTGCAGTGTGCCAATACATCCAACTCATAAAACATGATATTACATGATTTTGAATTTATAAAACGGGATAAGAAGATTCTACAATTAGTAATAAACAATGCATGATGAGTAAAGAATGCATAAGCTTTAATATACAATTGCCTTCTTGCTTCCCAATGAAAGTAGGACAAAGCCAAAAAAAACATTGGGAATGCTCCTTCGTGTTTCAGAAACTGGGTTTTAGAAATCTCTGTTCATTGTTGCATTTCGAACTTCACCCTTACAGTTTTTAGTTACTCTGCACACTGATGCTGGCACTGGCTTGAGATGAAAACACACAAAAAAAGAAATAAAATGTCCTTTTTTTAACACAATATGTATTTGGTTCTGGTCAAAGTCAAATATTCATATATATATGTATAAATATTACATGAATAATACAAAGCTTGTGTATTTAAGGTTTCTTCATGAAACCCCCCACCCCCCGGTGGCACCAACACAGACATGTCCATCCCCCACAGGAAAACAAAAGATAATGGCAAACGAATTGACTGCAGGTAATATCTCACCCATAATCTCTTAACAAAACAAAACTTAAAAACAGGGTTGAGTGATGGTATGATATGCTGGCCGTACAAATTTAAAACAATGGGAATTGGCAGCTGCAAGTATGAGATAGAAAATACCACAACATCAAAGCAGATGCTCTAAATGTTAAACATAGCTGTATTATTGGTGTGTTGGCCTAGTAGTCACAGCAGTGCACTTGTGCATTGAGAAGGTTACAAGTGCCCGGTTCGATCCCCACAGACTTCCGCTCTGGGTCCCTGAGCAAGACCTTTAACCCCAAACTTCTCAAAGGGCACCACACAATGGCAGCCCACTGCTCCCCAACGGATGGGCCAAAATGCAGAGAATACATTTCCCTATTGTGAAACAATAAAAGGATTTACATTATAGACTGCTTGTATTATTAAAAGCAGAGGCACAGTATTTATCCCCTTTTGTTGCTAAAATATTAGACTATTTGATATAAAATATGATATTGTAAAATAACTTTCCACTGTTTAACTTGCAGCAATTTTATGATTCATTGATGGTTATTTGACCTTAATTCTGAATTTGAAATATAATGAATCCGTTTAAAACGTGGCAACACTTTAAGTACTTGTGGACAGGAAAACCATAATTTTTCTATTTTCAAAAGCAGGACTAAAGATATTTTCCTGGACCAGAAATAAAATAAAGAGCTTAAATTTGTGTTTATTGAAAAAGCTGTAATAATATACCAAAGTAGCTTTCTTTGACACAACTGACCAGCAATTAAGATCAACAGCTTTGGATGGGGCAATGCTGCATTACTATAAGTTCTGGTTACTGCTTTACATTAGGCTGCAGCAACAATCAAACACAACATTTTAGTGGTTTTAAAACTGTAATCTTTTAAATCTTTAATATACCATGAAGCCAGTTACCAGCTAATGCCCAAAGGATTTCTCTTGAAATGAGCTTAAACACGTTCTTAGTCAAAAGAAAATATTTTTCGACTTTACAAGGCTGGAAAATGAAACTGAAAGATGTACATTCTTTAGCTTCTTAAACTGCCTCTATCTTAT